TTGCATAAGTTCTTTGGTTATAGACTGTTGATGAATGATACGAGTGCGAGTATAAGCTTAAATATACGAGTATAATTTTGGTTAGCTTCATTCAAAAGTTATTTGGTGTCATTTGGGGGTAACTTTGTGAAGTGAAGTTAAGCATTCTTACAGACGGCTTACAGACTTCTCAAGAATCTGAGACTTGAAACTATTTGTGGCCTCTTGTGATACTGTGAGGTTCTTAGAAACTAGTAAGACTTTCACATATGTATAATCACTCAGAGAAAAATGGCATAGCAAAAAGAAACATTACCATATTTACATTAAATCTATATTAATTAAAGAGTTATATTAATTAATGAATAATATTAGTAAATAAATTTCGGTAATTAAAAACGAGCATTATAAAATAATTTTAATGCAGCCTCAGTATATTAAATCTAAATATAAAAAACTTATAAATATATATATATGAAATATATTTAAATTTGTAGGAAATATAATTAATCTAAATATGAAAAATATATTATTTTAAATTTGAAATATAATTTAAAAATAATTTAATAGTGCTCCCCTACAACCACAAACAAAACTGTGGAAGAACGCAAAGAAAGACTGTAATTTTGATTAACATCTTTAAGCTTTACAAACGTCTTAAAGCACATCGATTCCCTAAAGATTGAAAAAAAAACATTTTATTTAAATGAATTTCTTGAATTGCTTCAAATTTCGTGAGGAATCTACTGCGCTGCCAGACAAATTTCAATTGCAATTGTAAGAAGCACGTTGCCGAAAAACCGTTGCCACCGTCACCTCCCTCCCTCCTCACACACTTAGAAGCCTCTGAAGCGCCGCACTAAAGCTCCTCTTTGGCCCACAGTCTGCCCGCACCGCTTACAACGGGTCCCACTTCAGTCACGGCATGTCTCTATTTGAAGCCAAAGAGAGAATTGAGAGAGGAGAAAAAAAGAGGAGCCAAAGTAAACTACATAAAAGCCGGCATTTATTTGAGGCAACGCGAAGGCAACATTATGCTGCCACATGCAACACACGCACACCGATGCTTTACGCACGTACAAACACTCACAGACCGCTGAAGAGTGTGTGAATGTGTGTGAATGTCTGTGTGTGTGTGTGTGTGTGTGTATTTTGTGTATCTAATGCGTGGCACGGATGCCATGCCGCGTGGCCGCGACTCTACGATGGGAGATATTCGTGGCCGAGAGGATGCAGCAACTTTCTGTAGATTTCTGTTCGCCCAGCACTGTGCCACATGCTGGGACACACACAAACGCACACGGGACACACGAAGAGTGCCCGATACGTATATTACGTATACGCCTGTTGTACAAGTCGCTGCATCTGTGAGTGTTTGAGTGGGTTTTTTGTGTGTGTGTGCGGTGGTGTGGCGTGTGTATTCTGTGTGATTGTGTTTGTGTGAGTGTTTGTGTCACCCCTCTGTGAGTGCATCATCCAACCAAACGCAATCCGTTTGCCATTTTTTGTGTTCACTTTGCCAACGGGTGGGGGTCGGGTCGGGTGGGTTCGCTTCGGTTCGGTATCTGACTCTGAGTTCCATCTGCATTTGTGCATAAATTTGTGTCATGTAAAATCATCGAAATAAAGCAAATAACTGTCACACCAAAGGGGAGTGTGTTCGGTTTTCAAGAAATTTGTTGTACAAGTATTTCTTGGGATTTGCCCCTCAACGCTGCAGCGTTTTCTTTTTATTGATATACACGAGGAGCACTCGTACATATGTACACATATTTTTTATGCTTATGATCATATCAATGCAAACGATTCCGAGTTGGGTTGGCTTTATTGCTGCCCTTGCTGCGGTTGGAGGTTGTGTCCTTCGTGTCCTTTGAGCTGCTGGTCATAGTATGGGGCATAACAAATGTGGAGCACTGTATTGCCATTGATGTGGTCGACGCTTTATGCTTAGCAGGGGATTTCCCTCTGTTGAAATATGCAGCCAGCGGCGAAGGTGTTCAACCACATGGATAGAGTGAAATTTTAAGCTAAAAATAAAGGGCATATATCAGACCACATTACGACTAAAGGATACCCGCTAAATTGATAGATTTTTTTTCAGCAAAAATAGGGCAGGGAGTTCCTGTAATAAGTGTTCGAAAGAGATATATTTTGATGGGATGGATTCGCCCTACTTTCTTTCACTTGCATAAATCTACCAGAAAGTTTCAGGTTTACAGGCCATAAAAATGTTTGTAGTACTAGCTGCAGTAATGCTCTCCACTGATCCACAAGCTGTGGGTACGTCGAGTGTCTCTTGGAATTGCATTCTTTATGACAGTCACACCTTTTGGCAATGGGCTCTTGAGCAACGTCAGCAAATTGCAGAGGCTGCAGCTCACACACACAGAGAAAGTTTTACATAAATCGAATTATGGAGAGGGAGAGACAGGCCGAAAACAGATAGGACAGACAAACAGGGCAGACAGATATCTGCATGGGATGGATATTATGCTAAAACGAAGGCAGAAGGGCACTTCGGGCTAAACAAATTCAAATGGAAAATGGAAAATGACAGAAGCAGCAGGAGCAGCAGCAGCAGGAGCAGCAGAAGTAAAAGTAGAAGCCAGCCAGCAAAGTAACACGGAACCGAAGCGCCTCTTGACAGCTAACAAGCAAACGGAACGCATTAGAAACAGCTCACCAGAACTAGAGCCAGAATCCAACTACAAGATACGCAGATACACACATACACACATATATACATATATCTTGAAGAGGTGGGTGGAGCGACACTGTGGGATAGTTCGAGAGTTCCACAAGAATGCCAAAAAATCCACTTAAATGCGAGTGCACATCAGGTTAACATTGGGTGTGGTGGGGGGTGGGGATAAGTCTGTCTGTACACGAGTATTCAAGAGTATTCGTCTGTTTGTACCTTGGAGTGTGTACGGGCGAGTGTCTAGTAGGTTCTAGTATCTGTATCTGTGAGTGTCTAAGGGTCCTCTTTATCTCTCTCTCTATTTGTATGGGTTTCCCAGGGTCTATGCTGGGTCTGGGTCTGAGTCTATGCCTGAATCTGTGAGATTGTATGGTACATATCTGTGTGTTTGTATATCACGTACATTTATCTTTGTGTCGTTTTGCCCAGCACTTAAGCCACACTAAAACACCAACACAACTACACACCCCACACCCCACTCTCCCTCCCCTACACACGCACACACACATTAAAATCTTTCTTCTGAGAGAGAGAGAGCATTCGAGCCATTCCCGTTAGCGTCGTAATGAAACGCAATGGGAACTGTTATTGAGGGGGGGTTGGGGCAATGGTTTGCCAGTGTGCGGACTGGCTGAGAGGCGTGGTCCCTGGTCCCTGGTCCCTGGCCCTTGGCCAAAAAAGTCAGGGGCCCCAGCTTCATTTGCTTCATTTCATGAAAGTATCTCTTGGATACGCACACACACGCAATGCTCTGCCACTCCTCTCCACTATCCACTCTCCACTACGAGCATTCCGCATTTGGTACTCGGCACTTGGCACGGGCGTATATTGAATTTGTATTTATGATCTGCCCATAAAATACAATAACACCATTAAAATAGTTACATCGAATGCGCCAGATACGCTGCAGAAGACAGAGCTAGACGAATATGGAATGCTCTAGGGGCAAGTTTGGGGAGAAAATAAATTTATTTGGAGTAGGTTTCGTAGAAATGTTGTAGCAGTATCTGCAATATAGAAATTCTACATTAAAATGTATCTAAAAATCAAAAATATATACGACAAGGGAATAATTTGGCATGGAAATATATTTTAAATAATAATATTAATAAATTTAATTCCATTTTACATTTTACTTTACATTTACTTCCCGATTTATTTTATGTGGAGTTAGCTGACTCTCTTTCTGGCAGAAAATTAATGCGTTGAGCCTTACTCTTAAGTGTAAATTTGTAGTTTTGTTATATAAATGTAATTCTTAATAGAAAAATTCCTAAATATTTCAGTCCCTTTAATTTGCGAAGATCTGAGTGGTTCCAGCAGTTGGATATTAAAAAAAAAACATATAATAAATATCATACACATATATAATATAATATATAAACAGATATAATTATACAATTATATCAACACTAAATATGATAGGAGAAATTTGTTGATTTACGAAGTAGGGCTTGGAGAATATACATATATGTATATATATATTTCCATACTTGGTTCTTAAATAATTCTTCAAATTTTCAAGAATTTATCTACAATCTGTCTGAGTAGGCTGCCATTATTTGCCTATTTAATTTATATATCTACCAAGATTCTGCGCCAAGTTTGAGTACCTTTCCTATGCCCTTTCCTATTTACCCATTATCCTCCTTGCTCTAGTTGTTGTTGTGCCTTTGCCCCACACCCACATCTACCCCGAAATGGCATCCTTTAGCCCATCATACCCTTGTAATAGTACTCGGAGCGTAGCACCACTCCAGCAGCCTGAAAACGCATCTTATGGCTACATTTGTGTTCATTCCGCACGTTCAGACGGACGTCTACGTCTCCATACCACAGCTCCGGCTCTGAACTACTCCTTGGCCGCATGCCGTATGCCGTATGCCCTGTACGGTGTACAGTCTACGGTGTACGGTGGGTGTATGCCATGTCCCATGTCCATGTCCCTGTTGCTTGCGGTTTACTATTTTATGCCATTATAGCCCAGAGTTCGGTTTGCCGTTCGGCATAAATTTATTTTGGTATCGAGAACAGCGAATGGCGGCATCGGCATCGGCGACGGCGACGGCAAACGGAAATTACCATTTTATTATTGCAGTCACTGGCGCTGGGCTGGGCTGGGCTCGGTCATGGTCGATGCCCAACCCAACACAAACCCAATTCAACCCTTGGGACCGCCACTGGATGAGCCTTATTGAATTCGCATTAAAATTGGTAATGGATATATGTATGCAGATACACGCACACAGGCTGCTGCAGATGCAGATACATAAAGAGCCAGAGGTCTGGGGCTGCATACATACAACATACATCTATCCATACATATATGTATGTATGTATTTGTATATTTATTTCTGCCAGTGTTTGTGTTACAATATTATGGCAGAGGGCTTAAGTGCATGTATGAGGGCTTATGATAGGTTAAGTGCCAGTTATGGTCTGGATTTTGATGTGTGATGGAGAAAGGCGTGTGATGGGAGGGCGGGGCGCATGATTGCGAGTGTAATTGAGGGGAAAATGCTGCTAACGCGAGGCAATAATGGTAGTATTATTCTCATCCCAGCGAATTCTATCCCCACGTGACTGAAGATCGTCTTCATCGTCTTCTAAGTCTTCCACAGTGACGTCTATATTGGCGTTCAATTCAGCGGTCACTTCAGCGTTCTCCTCTGCGTTCCCTTCAGCGTTCACTTTAGCGTTCCCTTCAGCATTCTCATCAGTGTTCTCCTCAGCGTTCTCCTCAGTTTCTTCCTTGTAGTCGATGAGCTCCCCGGCAACAAAGAAACAATTCTCCAGCACTTCGTTCCATTTTTGCATGTACCTCTCAACATTCTTTTTCTTGCGTATCGCTTCTGCTTTGATATTTTTGGTGAGCTCATGGCCTGACCACGTGGCGAATCTGCCCTCCGGACCAAAGTCTTCGGCCACATTGGACACATCATAGACAACGGCCCGCAAGGCAACCAGATATCGGCGATCCGGATTGTTGCAATTAAATTGCTCAAGCAGCTGCACCTTGGTCAGCATGAGTCCACTCAGCGGTTCCATCTGATTGATGTGGCCAGCGTCCCTGTAGTCCTGCTCGTCGTAGGTGTCCCGCCTGAATCGCGTCTGCGTATAGATCAAATAAGCCACCACGCCAGTGACAGCCACGATGGCGTACGTCGAGGTGGCTACCTCACGAAACTGCTGGCTCAAAAACTTATCGAACATAGACGACATTTTCGTGTATTTTTAGGAATAAATTTCGTTCCCGAAAAACTTTCCCTACTTTCAATTTGCTGTTTTCCTTTTGGACTGATAATATACCAGATCTGAATTGTGAACGATGAATAGACATTTGTGCAGATCAATAAACAGCCTACTGGGTATACTCGATTTTCGTTGCTTTCTAAGGGTTTGGGGGGTTTCAGCCTACTAAGAGCGAAGGCTCTTTAAGTAGAAAAGTTTTTCATAGCACTTGTTTTTTGTGTGGCTAACAGAATACAATTGTGTTCTTCATAATTTATATATCTAAAGATAATTGAGTTGAAAATATATAATAAAATATGCAGACAGACACACGATACCGCAGCTTGCGACAATTTCGCGGCAAGAGCCGAGGCTCTACTTATAAATATACCAGATATTTCAGCTTATATATATTTTATTTATTTTATTTTATTTATTATATATGTATGTAACCTATACAATATATTTATTTATACCCAAGCTTCTTCCTAAATAAACCTGCTGCAATCATTCGGATTTATACAAGCATTCCCGAGAAATGCCAAGAATATTGGCAGCTTTAGTCAAGCACCTCCCCCTACCCCTTTCCCACATAACTAATCTCCAATACTTTTCTTTGTTTTTTTTGTTGTGTTTGCCGTTCAACCATCAGGTGTGGTGGTCGCCCTGTCCGAGCAGGGAATGTCCGGAGGAGCCTGAGCTGGAATTGGCCGTGCATCAATGCGTTGACTATTGTTTGATGCAGGAGCAAGTTAATCCTCAGCTTTATACCAATACGCCGGCGTATGATGTTTATCCAACAACAACGAAAACAACAAAAGCAGCAGCTAGGACATCAACCTCAACCACAGAGAGGATTACAACAACAACAGCAAGTACAGCAACTGGCATGAGCACAACGACCAGCACGAGGTATGCCACAATGGAGTCAGAGTCGGGGCCAATGCCGACATCAACAACGTCCACAACAACGACAACAACAGCTCGTGCTACCACCACATCGCCGGCATCATCATTACCAGCATTATTCGCAACGCAAACGAGAAGCAGATACCAAGAAGTACTTAATATGTCATCGACCATGTTCCCGCCACTGGAGAATGCATCAGCCATGTCGCTGGTGGTGGAACGGGACGCCGAGGAGCAGCCAACGTCAGCTGAATTGTCAGCCATGTCCATGCAGGGATTGAATTGTAAGTGACATGATGAACCCTTCCTTGAATCAGCCACTCCTGCCCATGCCACTGCCCCTGCCCCTGCCACCACTAACTCCAGGACTGACCACAGGCATTATTATCATCGTAACTTGGTCTCTGTTGGGTACTCTCTGTTGTTGTTGTTCTTCTTTTCAGTTAGCTGCTTCTCCTTCTACTCCTCCAACAATTCATCGAAGTTCATGTCCGTGTCCGTGTCCATGTCTGTGTCCCTGTCCATGTCCATGTCCGTATCCTTGTTCATGCTCCGGTCCGTGTGTGTTTTACTTTTATTAGTTTGTTTTTTCCGTCTTTTGTGCAATGGAAGCAAGGAGCAGGAGGCAGGAGCAGCAGCAGTCGCACCCGGGATTGTGAATGGGTAGAAACTTGTACCATAAAAGCCAAAGACCGAGTCGTCGCTCTATGAAACTAGGAGTAAAAAAAAACGAAGGAAAATATAAGTATAATTCAACCTGTCCCAGTCTGTTTGTGGGATTGTGGGAGTGCAATGTGGTGGTGTGGTGGTGCGGTGGTTCTGGGCGGTTCAGGGTGATTGTCATTAAAGCCTGACGTTTTGTGTGGAGCCAAAGTTTACGGTGGCAAAAGTTTTTTCCAATTCTGTTTGGAAAAACTTCACAAAAGCCGTTTTTATTTCATATTATTAAAAGTGTGTGACAATGGGGATGGTTGATGGCTAATGGAGGGATGCCGAATTCACATGAAAAGATCGAGCATGAGAGCTGATGATGGCTTTTTTTTTGTTGGTTTAACTGCAGGAAGGAGATTGCTATTATTTTTGGAGTATTATTTGAGGCTTGTAAAAACGAAGGAACAAAGCAAGGAATATGAATAGGACCTATTACTCTGCAAAGTAAATAGTTTCGGCATGGCTCAAGAATAGTCAGAGAAATATCTCCTCAAAATAATTCCAAATAGATATTTTTAAGATTTTAAATCGTGCCAAATCTGCAGAAGCAATTGCTTTGCCATTTATTTAATGATTATTGTGTAATAGCAAAGATTATGGCATTGCCAAGATGATATATGAGGTGCCAAAAAGCCAGTCAGTTTTCTATAGCAACGTATTTGGATTTTGTTTGGCAAACATTTTTTATATTCTTGTTGGATTTTTTAAACCGAAAATTAAGTTTTTAGGGTGCGATGGAAATTGAAATGGAATTTATTACTGCTGCAATATCATGGCATTTTCTAGTCTACACTTTGATTCTACATTCTTCCAAGTCCCCACAGATGTAGACACTCGAAAAGCTCCTAAATATCTCACAACCTTTCTGAGTGTGTGCCTCTTGTGCCACAATCATAAGTCACACATCAGTTGTTGGCCAAACTTCCTACTCCTGGAGCACCCAAAATGCATAGCACACAAAACACATTCGAAAACTTTGCTAATGTCCTGACCAGAAATCACAATGTGAGAATTCCCTGAAGGGGGGTGGCGGGGGGAAACAGACATAAAAGTGCATAACTAACTAAACATGATGGCATTACTGGGACCATGTACACTTGACACTTGGCACAATTGGAAATTGGTCATGCATGGCCAGGACGAGCGACAGGACAACAGGCAACAGTACCAGGGACAGCGACAGAGACAGAGACAGGACCCGTACAGAGACAGTTTTGGCCAACTTTAGATCGCCTTGGGGGGGTGCAGGAACAGCAGCAGCAGCAGCATACGAAAAGAGCCAAAGCAATTTTGCTGCCTGTCTGATTATGTGCAAAAAAAACTCACTCCAACCCCTTTGACAGCTTCCACAGACACAGGAGGCAGCCAGCAGCAGCCGGTTAAGAGCAGCAGTTGGGTTCACTCGGACAACGACGATGCCACCTACTTTATGCTGCAGATGCATCCCGACCTCGCCGATCCCACCGAGCAGCTGGGCATGGAAATCGAACAGGATGCCAACGAAACGGTCACCGACATTCTGCAGCGTTTCGGCAAGGAGCGTCTGGTCATGGGCAAGATCAATCTCACGGATATGGACGATCTGGATCTGCGTTGCGGTGGCCTCGTCCGTCGCTCGAACATCTCCGAAATGGGACCCGAGGCCGTCAAGTGCATGATGCAGCGCTGCACCTTCACCATGAATGCGCCCGAGATCTGTCCGCCGGACTACAAGGAGACGGATGAAACCATCTTTTGGGTTTACTTTTTATTGAGGTGAGTTTTTCGGTGAGTGCCCCAAAGCGGCTGTGTAACAAGTACTTTTCTTTTCAGATTTTTGGCCACTACAATGCTGTCGGCTGGCGTCACCATAATGGATCCCATAGCCCTGACAATGATTGAGAAGTTTGGTGGAGATTTCGGACGCGAGCGTTTGTTCTCCAGCATTGGCATGGCCATATTCTCACCGATAACTGGCATTATGATTGATTATTCGTCGCGTGGCCTCGGATATACAGACTATTCGGCGGCCTTCTATACGTACGATGTGCTGCTGGTGATATCGACCATGTCGGTGCTGATGATGCCGCTGGGCGAGAAACTGCCGGCGGATAATGTGTTTAGGGACCTGTGGAATCTATTAAAGATGCCACACGTAATTGCCTTTATTATATTCCTGTTTGTGCTCGGCAACTTTTGGGGCTTCATCGAGAGTTTCCTGTTCCTGTATCTGAAGGAGCTGGGCGCACCCAACTATCTGCTGGGTGAGTTGTTGTCGCCATTAGTGGGTTACTTTTTCGTTGGAATTGAATTTTCGATTGTTTTGATTGCATTTGCCAGGCATCACCATTACGGTGGGCACTGTGAGCAGCATACCCTTCCTGTATGGGGCGGAGAAAATCACACGCATCTTTGGTCACGTTAATTTGATTATCATTGCTTTCTTCTCGCATGCCGGCCGCCTGGTTGGCTATTCCTTTATCGAGTGAGTGCCAAAGAATCGATGCCCTGTTTGGCGCCCCAATGCAATTTCAAATTGAATTACTTTCTTGTGCTTAGGAACGCGTGGTGGTGCTTCCCCTTCGAGGCCATGGAGTCATTATCCTGCCATCTTATGTGGGTGGCAGCCGCCACATACTGCTCCATTCTGGCACCCAAAAGTCTGCTGGCCACTCTCATTGGTGTGCTCGGCATGGCCCATTTCAGTCTGGGTGAGTTCTCCTATCTAATGAGGCACTTTCCTTGCATGTAATCACATTTCGTGTGTGTCCCGTCCCCTTCCCACCCCACCCAGGTCGAGGCAGTGGCAGCTTCACTGGCGGCCTGCTCATCGGTCAGTTCGGCACTCGAGACGCCTTTCGGTATATGGGCCTGCTGGCCGTTGTTGGCGGCATTGCCTATGGCCTGCTTCATCTGATTTGGCTGCGTAAATTCGATCACACCACCGAGGATTCGGAGGAGGAGGCCGAGGCCGTCGAGGCTGGCGAAACGGAGAAGCTGACAGAGCCCGCTACCAAGGAGCAGGGCACTTCCATGTCCTTGGAGCGTTTGAGTCTGATGATTAAGTACAATCAGATTGGCAGTTTGTCATCGTTGCCCAGGGGATCGAGGGTAAGTCATTGCTAGTCCCGACTAAGAGGGAGGCTCTTCATTTCGGGTCTCTTTTGATTAGTTAGTCGCTATCCAAACGAATAGTGTGGCAAAAAAAAATAATTGATTTAATTTACAGTTCAGTGTGTCCGCTTTCCGGCATTTGATGAGATCTTCGGCTCAATGCAATTATTTATGTTCGAGTATATGTGGGATTTTAAGATATTTAGTACAGTTTTTAACTCATTATAGCAAAGATCACAAATAAAAGTTTTCAGTTTAAATAAATAAAAATCGAAAAATGTGACTCAAGTGAATCAGGTGTTAGAAAAACTAAGAATTTTTTGTTTAATATTTTGTTTATTACTCTCATTTTTAACTTTCATAAAAAAATTAAAATTTAAAATTTTTATT